ACGAAGGTCTAAAATAATATACTTAACAGAAAAGGCCATGAACTAGTAGCATTATTTAACTTAAAGGGACACAAAAGAGAAAGGAAGACCGTGTTCAGATTAATAAACTGCAATCGGAGAACTCTAATGCCTTAAGGAGCCGGTGAAACTGCGTTGCAACAGAGCAAGAGCCGGCTTGGTGGCATTCGTCAGCAGATATGCAAAGTGGGTTGGAGATATTGAATGAAGCCAAGCATCATCCTCGGAATTAAACCAAGAGGAGGCAGCGGGCCGAATTACATGGTCCGTCACACGGCAAGCCTTCACGTCGTTCAGCTGCGTCGTATTGGCGGCTAGGCGCACAGCTCTACGGGCTCCATCACTCAGCCATCTCTGTTTGATACGCCGAGCAATGCACCTCTCGCTACGCTCACCCAGGCATAATTGAGTTAAGCCACAGCCATTTTTTTTCAAGGGTGAAGCTCCTCTTAGTCTAACCTTGTCCTGCGTGAGGCGTAACCAGCCAGGCAGACGAGTACGCAGACAGACGGACGATCAGACAGACAGACAAGTGGACGGACGCTTCACCCCACACATCATCATTCATTCCATGGATATGCTGCGATTTTTCATTTTTTAAAGATACAAAGCAGCTTTTGCTTGGGCCTATGTCCGTCCCTCAGTGACCATCCGCTCTCCCACTGCCCATGCGCCGACTCTCCGCCTCTCCTTTCGTGAGTGCAAGGAGATGGCAGACGCTGCCTCCGCTTCGTTTCTACTCTCCCGTTGACCTCTCTGCCACAGCTGTACGCCCGTATACAGGGTGTCCCAGGTGACTTCAGCCAGAGTTTAAAAATATGCCGGAAAACGTAAGTAGACGCGACCAAATTCATGTTGCTCATTGTTGCCAGGAGACTATTTTTTTTTTGTTCTCAAATATTGTTTATTAGATCTGTTTAATTAACGAAGTTTTGAAGGAACAAAGATGGAATTTCAATGAGAAAGTTGTAGATCGGTTTGCAAAACGTTCAAATAGATAGTTTTGACCTTTATATCTGTTAATTATTAGTGTTTTAAATACGAAGCATTTTGTAGTGAACTTCGGTGACTGAGCGTATCTATCTGTCTGTCTGTTTGTCCGTCCGTCCGTTAGACTATCCATCTATCTATCTATCTATCTATCTATCTATCTATCTATCTATCTATCTATCTATCTATCTATCTATCTATCTATCTATCTAGCTAGCTAGCTAGCCGCCTAGGATTTTTAGCTCTCCTGGCCGTTTTGATAATGGTATTAATACCAAACTAGGTATGGCACCCCATGACTGCATGAAGAACATATTTGACTATACATAGCATGAAAATCATGACATGTAAGTCATGAATGTCGTGATTTAAATTTCATCGTTTAGCAGCTTTTGCGGTGGTTTAGTTCACATGGCATGTTGCAAAACTGGTATGGTATGATTGCAAGGCGAACACAAGTGACAGACCCTAACATGAAAATCATGACATGCGTGTCATGTAGCACAACATGACTACATGCCACGCTCATGATGCGCTTGCGGCCGTTTCGCAAGTGTCACATAAACCGAATTTGGTATTACAGTACATGAATGAATGACGAAAGTATGTGACTGGTGCAAACATGATAATCACGTAACAACATGACTACATGTCACACTCATGATGCGCAGGTGGCCGTTTCGCTAGCTTCAGTTGGATACCAAGTTTGGTATTACGGACGTGAATGGATGACGAAGGTATGATACTGGTGCAAACATGAAAAACATGAGATGCATGTCATGTGACAACATGACTACATGCTACACTCATGATGCGCTCGCGGCCCTTTCGCTAGCTTCACATGTACCAAACTTCGTATTTTTACGCAACGCGAACGGACGACATAGGTAAATGACACATCCAAACATGATAATCACGTCATGCAGGTCAAATAAAAATTTGACTACATGCCACACTGATGATGGACTCGCGGCCGTTTCGCTAGCTTCACACATGCAAAATACGGTATTACGTGCCGCCAATAAACGACAAAGGTATGTGACTGGTGCGAACATAATCATGAAAAGCGTGGCATGTGAAAACATGACTACATGCCACAGTCAAGGCGCCAATACTTTACGACGTGATGCAGTGCGCGTGCTCACCGGCGTTCATTTCGTCGCGTCACACCGGCGTTGCCATGCCAGGCGCTGGTCCTGCCATATACTCGCAGGCGCGCGCCGCACTGTGTTGCTTTGACACATGCTCGTTACAGCGCATCCGGTATCCCTCCGTCACGAAAAGAGGGAGACGCAGTGTTGTCTGGGTAACGCATTGGGGCGAAATACAGCATGCCGCATTTCGCGCCGGTTGCCATCTGGCCGTGCCGACGAACGCTGGTCGCGCCTGGCGTGAGAATAGAGTGCTCCCGGTTTGTTAAAGTAGCGTCGCTGTGCCCAGCGTGCACGCGCGTCAACGCTGCATTGGAGTATATTGGGCCCTTAATGATACGCTCGCGGCCGTTTTGATAGCCCCACATATACCAAATTTAGTGTTACATGACGTCAATGGATGACGAAATATATGATTGGTGCAAACATGATAATCCCGACACATGTGTCATGTATGAACATGACAACATACCACGCTCATAGCATGCTCGCGGCCATTTCGCTAGCTCCGTATATACTAAGTTTGGTATCAACGTGACGTGAATAGATGACGAAGGTAAACGACACATCCAAACATGATCATACTGACACGGAAGTCATATACGACATCATTTACCGCCACCTCGTAACGTTATGCTGATTTCAAAGTGACATATCAACATTTCTCATTCGTGCTTCGCATATCAACGATTCCCTCTGTACGTGGGATCTGGCAATTTTTTTTTCTGCCCATTACAAATGCCCGCGAAATACAAAAAAATACCACAAGACAAACCCACTTGCGCGTCAGTGCCCACAACGATTCTAGTGCTCCCTAATGTTCCGCGTGCGAACGACACGCTTCCCCCACACCGGTTCACGACTGAGATGAGCAGTCACAGCGGTTATCGTTCTTGTGGCCGATAGCAAAATGTGTTCATCGTAAAGCCACTACTATCGTTGCGCCCTTGCCGAGACAGCACAATAGGGCAAATGCTATGGTAGTTCATACGCAGAACATTAGGGAGCACTAGAATCACTGTGCGCAATAGCGCACGAGTGGGTTTGTCACGTGGTATTTTTTTGGTATTTTGTGGGGATTGTAATTAGCAGGAAAACACACTATAGTTAACAGATATAAAGTTCAAAACTATTTATATGGACGTTTTGCGAACCGATCTAGGACTTTCTCATTGAAACTTTTTATGCATCTTCGTTCCTTCAGAATTTAGTTATTTAAACAGAACAAATTAAACAATCTTTGAGAACACAAAAAATAGTCTAAGTCCAGGCAACAGTGAGCAACATGTATTTGGTCCAATCGTAATTATGTGTTCCGGCATATTTTTAAACCCTGGTTTTTGTTTCGTGGGACACCTTGTATAACGCTGCACCCACTCGCTCCGTCGCACTGTCCTAGTAGCGCTGGGTGTCACTTTGCAGCACGCACATGGTAATACACATAAATGTAAGGGTGGTAACTTGAGCGGAACATAACATAAACACAACTCTACACACGAATGAAAGACACACGGAAACATACAAATAGAAACATACAAATGGAAACACAAGTGAACGTCAGCGCTGCTTCGCATCCCCCCCCCTTCCCTTTAGTGGGAGATGGTGTAATTTTTAATTTTTTTTTTTTTTTGTCGTATGGGAGCACAGAGTATATGACGCTATCTGGCTCATGACGAATATTTCATGTCTGCTGTCATGCGTACAAAAGAACGGCAACAGATTAATGGCCCAATAGACACAACCCAACGAATCAACAGATGAAGAAGCAAAGTATGGGGGAAAAAAGAGCGACTTTATCACCGATTTGGACATGTTCAACCTATACCCTTCAAGAAATGCGTTGGATACCCCACCAATTGGACTACGATGGCTCTCCAATCAACTTTGCTGGGTATTTCCGTGCATGTTAACATCAACTGATTAGCCAGCACTACTCAAAACCACAAGAGCAAGTGTGGAACACTCTTCTTGCAAAGATTTGTTGCCAGTTTACCGATTAACTCTCACATCCCGCATGGATACGTCACGTCCACAAAAGGCACTGGCCGACACTCCCAGTATTACATATTACATGTATGAGTTTGGCCACCACAGAACAGCTGGCAGAACGTTGCATGTGTAGCGAAGGTTGCAGGTGTAGCCCCCACTGGTGGCACTTTTTTCTATTCATCCACTTAAATACTTACCCTTTTAACACGTAATTTCTGCCCCCACCCTGCTCTTGGATTCATCACCTGTTAACTTCATATAGTTATATATACTGGCACTTTCCAGAACCACAAAGATGCAAAAACATTTTTGCCTTCTATGGAAATTCCCACACACACACAAAAAAAAAATGTTTTAAAATGGGTAAACACCAACAAGCATGTAACCATCTGATTATAGCTGCAGTTGAGAGTTGTAAGGTGATTGCGTCAATAAAGCCTTTTTTTCTCCTCTAGTCATACCCAAAGCAACGAAGTGCAATATGAATGTCCGTAACTAAACCTCCAATAACCTGAGATTCTGCAAATGTTCGGAAGGAACAATTTGTAGATACGATACAAATTTTCTCATGAGAAGTAACACAGGAGCACGTGCACGCACATGATCACATCCCTGATTGGTAGAAATTAGTAGCAATATACAATACATTTCTGTAAAGCCAATCAAACCTAGTACAGTACCTTTGCACCGAGCAAGTGCAATAACACACAGGTCAACATGGTATGCACTAACGGGCACATTTGTGCAGGACTTGTGAGTTCTAGAGTTCCATTGACAAATGGAGCTATACCCATGGCATCATAAAGAAACCATCACACACAAGCCAGAAGCCATGATGTTCTCAAAATTTTAATAAATTTTTACTTTCGAGATTTCTTTTTATGTTTTGTTTTCGGTGGCTTTGTTTCCACGCTGTCTCCCGCATCTTGACCTTCGGCAGTGGCATCTTGACTTTCGGCATCTCGACCTTTGACTTCTTCAGACTGAGCTGCTGTGCCAGCAAACTGTGCCTCCTCCTCCTGCATTGCCTCCTTGAGGAACTGCACGTTTTCCTTGTGCTTCTTAGACTTCTCGTGGTTGGCAAATCTGCAACAGAGAGTTCACACAAATAGGGTGTTTTCTTACGCACAATAATTTCCTTTGAACCTTTTGCAACTCTGAGTCCTTGTTTGAATACCCCACTGACTTTTGCCCTTTCTGCGCACGATCAACAAGAGAGAGGCCACAAACACTGGGCTAATCGTAAAGTAAGCATTGCTATTACATAAGCTACCTTGATATCACTTCTGGTTGAAATATCTTGCTGCACACAATCATTTTGGTGAAAGCAGTCCTATGTTTACCAGGACCTTAGATGTGGGGCGTTTCTACAAAACTTTCAATATTTAGTCATTTTTTTATTTATGACCTTTTTAGGAATGCTCGCTGCTTCAGATACTTGGTAACTTTGAGTGGCTCATTGGAATCGGCTTATGAAGAAGCACATTAGCAGCATTACTGACTGTCACGGACGGCTATTTTCGGCGACACCGCGTCACGGCAATTAACTGGCGCCGGACTTCCCGACTGACCATGAGAAACGGCGGCACATGAAAGGGAACCGATAAGTGCAAAATGGGGGTGCTCTCCTTAGAACGTCGCCGCCGACAGTTAATCCTTTTGTAACCGTGGCGACGTCTGCAAGGTCGTAGAAGGCCGCGGTATACCCCGTACAAGGATTAGACTACAAGACGCCCGGCTGAGAGCTAAGTGGTTGACCGTTCCCACGGAGAAAAGCGTGGGAAACGCTCTGGTGGCCAAGCCGTATGGCAACAACCCGACAGGTTGTCACTCTCGCTAGTTGCGGGCCCTCTCCCAATTAAAGGGGTGAGGTCAAAATATTTTTGGGGCGGAGTTTCCCCTCAATTAAACGCGCATGATTGGACCCAGGTAGAGGTCTCTTGTCCCCAAGGAAGAGAGCGAGGAGACACGAGGGGGATTTAAGCGCAGGATTTTGCCCTGCTAGGCAGACTAGTCGCTGACCAAGATGGTGTAGAAACAGATCAACAAGCATCTCTTCTAGAAGTTTTTAGTGTGGCTCTGTATCGGCTGGCCACCTAAACTTAGCCGTTCGTCTAGTTGTGACGCGATATTAACGTCTGCAACGTAGACATCGGGACTTCGCCTCGAGTTAGCTCAACCTGCTCGAAGTCACCTGCAAGCACTAGCCTCCCGGAGCCACCAGCGTTGCAACACCGCCGACATCGCAGTCGTGCCAGAACTCTCTTCGACTTCTCGCATCCGATCGTCGGGGACACTACGCTGCCGGTCATCACACGTATGCCTTCACCTGTTTATATCTTCGAACTTTCTCCTCTGTAGTTTTGTTGTGTTAGTTGTGTAGTTTGTAATAGTTCTCTCTCGTAAGCTGATTTATTGTTTCTGTTATATATTCCTTTAGTTGTATCAAGTGTCGATGTATTTTGTTAGTTGTATTGAAGTGTTGTATTAGATCCCGTGTGCTGCAATATCACTAAAGTAAAGTTTGTTTTGTTTTCCCACGTCTCTGATCTCTTCACTGTCTCTGCTTGCGTACGGAACGAACCAACCTGCTGTCATTCCCGTCGCCGACTTCGCGCTGGCGACGCTAGAGTGGCAGCTTGTAACAAAACTGGCGTCCGCGAGACAGGACGTTCCGTACAAGAGTAAGACAGTGAGGGGTGAACGAGAACCGTGCGGATAGCGTGGTGATAGAGCCGCACAGTTGAAGCGGTTGCATCCTGCAATGATTGCGCTGTTTTTATAGTGGCATTATAGTGACAGTTGCAGTATGGAGTGTATGAATTTTGATAAGTGGATCGCGTACGGTAAACAGTTAGACCTCGAGGGCGCCGAACTGAGACAATGGATTAAGGAGCAGCAGGAACTGGCGCAGGCCAGAGAAGAGCGGGCACAGGCCCGGGAGAAAAGGGAAAAAGAAAGGGAGAGAGAACGAGAAGCGGCAAGAGAAGCTGGAGAACGGGAAGTGCAGTTACTGCAATTAGAGATTCGCCTCAGTGAGGGTAGCAGGGTGAGCCGATCCAGCAGTGAGCACGGCGATGCCGGCGAGAGACTGTCATTTGAGCGAGACACATGGCGTCAAGGGCTACTCACGGGTCTGCCTTGCGAGGCAAATGAAGCTGTTGCGCGACTCGGTCAGCAGAACGCGAACAACTGCAAGGTAGTTAAGGCAGATATGCTCCGGATGTTCGGAACTTCTGTCCGGACAAAAGAAGAGCAGCTCAGACAAGAGTCTGAAAGAGAGCGCGAAGCAGAAAGACAAGAGTCTGAAAGCAAGGCGCGTCGGAAAGCGTTGGACATTGAAGCGCGTCATGAAACGCCAGAACCAGAAATCGCGCTAGAAAAGGGCCCGCATATTCTCGAATGCATCCATATAAATGATGTAGAGAACGAGGCCTTGGCCGGTCTCGAGGTAGAGACAGTATCAAAAAACGGTCCTAGCGAGGATGAGGTGTGTGCCGGCAGCCCTAATGGACTCAGTAAGAAGCTGGAAACCATCCTCATGCCTCGAGAGGACGTCTCGAGATCGTCACATGCAGATAGGGTTAGCACAGTGGCTAAACACAGCGAGAACGCGACGCTTCAGGAGTGCAGCGATGCCATCGGAGAGGGCCCAGTTAATGGTTTCATCAGCATTAACAAAGATAATTTGGCCCGGCAGTCCGTCGTGACACCGAGTTCAAAATGTTTGAGCGTGGGGCAAAATGTAGCACAAGCTCCAACGAGCTTCCCAACCACTCAGTTCCCGACGCGACATGATGATGGCATTGAGAGAAAGGGGGCAAGCAAACATCGCCGAAAAAGAAAGAAGCGAAAGCGTTCGGCACTGCCTAAGCCTAGGACTAGTCCCACCCCGTCGCCAGAAAGACGAAGGGGTAGGCATTCAATCAGTTTTAGGAAACGTCAATGGTGGCGTTCAGCCTGGCACAAGCGGCGAGCCAGCTTGGGAGGAGAAAAAGGAGGTGCATCACCCAAACGAAACGCGCGTTTTAGTTCGACAACTTCAGGAAGGCGACCTTGTCAGAAGGGCCAACGTCGAAAGATCACAAAAGCTAAAAACCGCGTCGGGGCGAACACAAAGGGACAGTGGCCCCAGTTTTCCCCCTGTTTCTGGCGTCCCTTTCAAATTCCTGAGGGGAACAGGCCAAAATGGAAAATGAGGTGTGACGGCAGTGCACTGCTTAGAGTTTGTGCATTTTGTATCCTCTGGCCTGATGGAAAACCACCGGGACCGCGACCTCATCGTGTGCGATTCAAAAGAATCTAGTTGAGAAAGGGGGAACGGTCAGTTCTAGTAACTTTTGCACAGGCGTGTTAAATATTGTTACTCAGTTGTACGCCAAGATGTGTATTCAAGTCTTTTAAATTTTGGAAGTTACGTGATGCGGTGTAATTTTTTTTAAAGGGAAATCGCCGAACCAAAGGCTGAAAAGTAGCATCGAAGTAATTCAATCATTGTGCGAAAATTTGCATAAAGGTAAAAACCAAGAAAATGTGTTATTTTTCTAGTGTTCATAGGTTTAGTGTTATGTCGCATGCCTTCACTGTCACGTGGATATGGCGTGTATTGGCATTTAAGGAGGAAGATGTTAGCATAAACCGAATGATTTCGTAAATTGATTAAGATTAAGAAACTAGTGCAAGTGTTGTTGGTTTTCTTTGAAGACGATTGATCAAGTGATCATATAAGCAAAACACTAAACTTTTTCTCAGCTTGAGCCGGATATAGTTGAGGTCTATGAGCATGTTGTTTTTTGTTCTCCTTCTGTCGGTTGTGTTCGGTTTGTATGTACGTATTTCATTGTATAAGAAGTGTATTTTGAGTTATTTTCTTGTTGCTTGGTGCATTGGTTGTTTTTACTTGCGGTAATGCACATGGAAGGATTGAACTACAGTTGAGGAGCGCACCTGTTCCGTTTTATTTTGTAGTATACATTCATGCTGTGTATTCTGTATTGATGGCTGCCGTACACGGCTATTTCTTCTTCTTGTTTGTATGGCACCTTGATATTATTGCGTGTAAATGAAGCTGGTACTCTAACAATTGTTTGCTTTGCCTTTTGTTGTTACTTTGGTGCACTCTGCCTATGTATGTTGTGTATGAGAGGGACAGTCCTCATGCCTTCCTTGTTGGTGGTGTTTTGTTCCTTGTTGTCGAAAAAAATACCCCTCCGTGCGAACAAATGTTATGAATAACATTCTGAAAGTGGGGGGCAATGTCACGGACGGCTATTTTCGGCGACACCGCGTCACGGCAATTAACTGGCGCCGGACTTCCCGACTGACCATGAGAAACGGCGGCACATGAAAGGGAACCGATAAGTGCAAAATGGGGGTGCTCTCCTTAGAACGTCGCCGCCGACAGTTAATCCTTTTGTAACCGTGGCGACGTCTGCAAGGTCGTAGAAGGCCGCGGTATACCCCGTACAAGGATTAGACTACAAGACGCCCGGCTGAGAGCTAAGTGGTTGACCGTTCCCACGGAGAAAAGCGTGGGAAACGCTCTGGTGGCCAAGCCGTATGGCAACAACCCGACAGGTTGTCACTCTCGCTAGTTGCGGGCCCTCTCCCAATTAAAGGGGTGAGGTCAAAATATTTTTGGGGCGGAGTTTCCCCTCAATTAAACGCGCATGATTGGACCCAGGTAGAGGTCTCTTGTCCCCAAGGAAGAGAGCGAGGAGACACGAGGGGGATTTAAGCGCAGGATTTTGCCCTGCTAGGCAGACTAGTCGCTGACCAAGATGGTGTAGAAACAGATCAACAAGCATCTCTTCTAGAAGTTTTTAGTGTGGCTCTGTATCGGCTGGCCACCTAAACTTAGCCGTTCGTCTAGTTGTGACGCGATATTAACGTCTGCAACGTAGACATCGGGACTTCGCCTCGAGTTAGCTCAACCTGCTCGAAGTCACCTGCAAGCACTAGCCTCCCGGAGCCACCAGCGTTGCAACACCGCCGACATCGCAGTCGTGCCAGAACTCTCTTCGACTTCTCGCATCCGATCGTCGGGGACACTACGCTGCCGGTCATCACACGTATGCCTTCACCTGTTTATATCTTCGAACTTTCTCCTCTGTAGTTTTGTTGTGTTAGTTGTGTAGTTTGTAATAGTTCTCTCTCGTAAGCTGATTTATTGTTTCTGTTATATATTCCTTTAGTTGTATCAAGTGTCGATGTATTTTGTTAGTTGTATTGAAGTGTTGTATTAGATCCCGTGTGCTGCAATATCACTAAAGTAAAGTTTGTTTTGTTTTCCCACGTCTCTGATCTCTTCACTGTCTCTGCTTGCGTACGGAACGAACCAACCTGCTGTCATTCCCGTCGCCGACTTCGCGCTGGCGACGCTAGAGTGGCAGCTTGTAACACTGACTGTAATGCAATAAGTCAAATTAATGCACGACTATTTCCTCCAACACTTCTGCTTGCTTTAAGTTAGGTCTCACGAACCTTGGCATCAAATCACGTAAACTTCACAATTTCATAAACCGCTGACCATGATTTGTGTTGGGAACGGTTGCGAGGCCCCTTTCTGTATATCTTGCGCCATGTGGAACCCTACACGATAATGTTAAATATGCTCAAACTCGGCATTTAAATGGCTCCCTTACTTTGTTTCATATACAGGGTGTTTCGAGAAACGTGCCCTATATTGTCATAAAACAAAGAAATGAGATATTTCGTCTACACCTATGGGATTACTACTTCTGTAGCTTGTAAGATGGCTAAAAAATCATTTGGGACAGTAATCAATAAAATTTGATTGTTTTTTAATTGGTGGGATTAGGCAGTAGTGACAAATAGGAGAATTGAAGTTCTTCATGTGAACAAACCGTTCTAGCTTTGAGATATAAAAAAAAATGGCCTTCAGTAATGTAATGAACTACAACAAAATTCAATGGTGAAACTAGAATCAAAGTACTCATCAGCAAACTAGAAGACGGTGAGAGTAATATCACTTTTCAAGATAGCGATCAACAGATGTGTAGTTCTTTCACAGTCATTAACATACACACACGATGCGTGCTATAGTGCTTGCAAGCACATCCCACCCATCCACATAAGGAAGTTGCTCGATGGCTGCAATAATAATAATTACTAATACAGCAGTAAGGCTCTTCCACATTTAGGGTTCAGTTTAGCCACTTAAATGACGTGAACTTCATTACTTTGCAATTATTACTATAGGCCACTTTTTTTTTTTGTCTTAAAGCTGCAATGGGTTCTCCCCATGAAGGACTTCAATGCTCCCATTTGACATAACTGCCATACTTCACTTATTAAAAGTTAATCAAGTTAAGTTCCTTATTTACTGTCCCAAATGATGTCTTTAGCAATCTTGAGATGCCCATTGCATACAAAAAAAAGTATTTGTCAAGGTGTCGAGAAAATTGCATTTTCCCTGAATTTTGAAAATCTTGGTCACATTTTTTGAGACAGCCGGTATAGCAGGAAAAGCTACAAAATATGAGAAAAACATGCATTGCTTGCGTTTGCTTCCAAGAGTTGTACTGCATATATAAAAGAAGGATACGAATGTGTGTTTTCTAACTGAATGTAAGATCCCTCAATGCTTTTTTTCTTTGCTGCTGCAGTGCTGGACAAGCCACTGAAGCAGTTAATCAACACGCAAGTTGTACAGGTCGACTGAATAAAGGCATATGATACTCGAAAATAAATAGCTGGCGGATATTATCGGGTTCTGACACTTTTGTGTGGTGCTTCTCAAAACTCAGCAAACTGTGTTTGTTGTCGTACGAGCTATCTGAAGAAATGCATGCAGTAACTTCCACTGATAACTCTTCGATTCAGTAACATTATGAGTGTAAGGACATGTGTACCATTGATGAACAGGGAGAACGGTAATTTTTTTGGTGACTCACAGCTCCTTAAGCTGTGGGTTGTGCGTCGTCGATGTATGTACAGTCGAATCTCATTAAACTGAACACAATTAATTCGAATTTCCAGTTAATTTGAACTCACGATGAGGTCCCGTCAAAGCTATGTGTATTCCAATGGGCGAAAACGCCCGGTAATTCGAACGTGCGAGCATTTGCGACGGCTAATTCGAACATACCGCGGTCCGAAAATGCTCTCAGCACCCTGACCAATCCGACGGCGGCATCTGCGACACCTCAACACTGCACGCGAAAGAAATGAAAAGGAAAGACAAGGCTGCAATCGAATGTTTGCTCTCTCTCAAATGTCGATCTGCGACACGCCCGTGTCACGCTTCTCCTGCCACGTAAAGACCCTTCTCCTTCCAACACCGCACGCGAAGAGAGAGAGGAAAAGAAAAAAAGAAAGCCGTTACTGGGTTGAATGAATGTATGGTTGAAGGAAAGGAAAAAAGCACGGCTGGAGCACGACTCTGCGCCTTGAGATGGGAGGGGGGTTTCTCAAGCACCGGTGCCAGGCTTTCCCCTTTCCCGTCCCTACCGCGTAACCCTTCTCCTTTCGACACCCACGAAGAGAGCAAAAAAAAAACTGCCGCGGAGTGTTGGTTTTTTTCTCAAGTGGAGGTGGTTGTGATTAGAGGAAAGAAAAGACGCCTAATTTCCGTAGCCAGTAAGGGAGCAAGGCGCTCAACTTCTCTCCGCGTGGAGACACTCCTCCTTTCTCGTCACCTGCTGGCCATGCTGGGGCCGCTACGCAGTCGTTGTTGTCGTCGTTTTTAAAAAGTGTCGGCGCTCGACACTTCCACCCGCAACTTCTCTTGCCTCAGGAGAATGCTGAAGCCGAAGTAGAAATGCTTTGCAAGCTGCATGCGAAATTGATTGACTCACTGCAAGGCAAACGTGTGCAGATGCGCATCACCGATTACTTCAATTAATAACGGATGCCCTGTGCTTTGTGAATAAATGTAAGTTTTCTGAAACTTCCCCCTCGTGTGTTAGCTCAATGCACAGCACCACTGCATGCAGAGCCCTCTGTTAATTTAGCTTTCATTAATTCAAACTTCTTTTAATTCGAACAAATCTTTGGGCCCCTTCGAGTTCAAATTATCGAGATTCGACTGTAGTAGGTAGCCACCTCTCGCTAAGTTCTTGGAATGTCCGCTAGATGGCAGAACTAGTACATGATGAATATATGATGAAAAGATGCGAGATGGCAGTACTTGGGGTGTTCACTAGAAGGACAAATGGACAGACAGACTGACGGACAGACAGACAGGTGGACGGACACGGCCAGCGGACGGACGATTCACGGCTTACCGATAGAAACCTTCGAAGCTTCGCCCCACTCATCATCATTCACTCCATGGGTATGCTGCGATTGTTTCTTAATATCTGGGGTCTAGCGTCCCAAAGCCACGATATAATTATGAAAGATGCCGTAGTGGATGGCACAAGAAATTTCAACTACCCGGCGTTCTTTAACGTGCGCACAAAGTACACAGGCCTAAAAAATTTTTGCGTCCATTGAAAATGCAGCCACTGCAGCCCGGATTTGATCCCATGACCTTTGGGTTAACAGTCGAGTGCCACAGCCACTAGATTACGACAGCAGGGCAGCAGGAAGAATTTTGAGTGAGACCGTGTTGAAGTCATGTTCACATATCTCCGAGCTAAATAGCATTCAGCAGGTCCGTGTGTTATAGACATGAAGGAATTCCAGAGATTATTTTAGTCTATGAAAGTGTTATTAAAATGTAAAGTGCTTTTGCAGGGGCCCTTTGAAATGATGGTGCATTCACAGACTATATACAAAAGTACAGCACAACAGTTGTGATAAATGTTAGAATATCCTGACAACATTGCATTGCTTCCCTTCTAATTATAATTAGCAAAATAGTAGTCACAGAGCTCATAGAATCATGACAGTATGAAGAAAACCTGAATGAATTCGTGTGAACTAAGTGAAGAAAACTACTCGGCTTAGCAAAGAGTTATCCCAAATGAAATGAATCGATTTAGTCTTCAAGTAAATCTGCATAGAGATGAAAGGGAAAGCAGTTGCACTTATATAAGTGGTACCAGGACTGAGTCCTGCAACGTTTTCACGTGACAGAAAAAAGCTGTCACATCGCCACGACTCTTGATGAAAACATGCCACCTATTTTAACCTAATGCACCTGCCCTCAAGAAGGCAAAAATTTTGAGCCTTTGTTTATGAAAATAACCAGTCAGATGCAGCAAGAAATATGGGATACCTAAAAATCCTGTAGACCATGAGTCGACAGTGTGCGACCTGCCCGTGGGACACATGCGCCCTTTTGCATGATGCCAGAAACCCTCCCCTTTTCATTGTTACTATTTTTCAGAAGGTCCACATGGCAGTTTTCACCTTCAATGGGTTTAATGCTGGTAACTTATGGCTGCAAATTGCAACTTTGTGACATTCGGGCTGAAAATAAACAAACATGATTTCTATTCACTAGCTCTAGTTTCTGACATTTGTGTCAATTCCCTCTTTTCCAGCAAAGCTACCCCCCCTCCCCAGCTTTACCTTGTAGCCCCGCAGTAACAGCTTCATACAAATCAATGCTCTGCCAGGAAAGTTAACCCACCCCAGCTGTGGACAAACCAACTGGGGTAAAGCACGACAAGCATGTTTAAATTTGGGAGCTGAAAACTAAGTCCAAAGGATGGCACGGAGCACATTCCGCAATAGTATGTGATGCCATAGAAAGAACTAAATGCAGTGCTCACGCTTTGTCAGATTTGAAGCACTTGTCACAGGCCACGCAGTACAGTTCGTCTGGGTCTTCATCCTCCGAGTCATCAGTTGCAGAGTCAACTCCATTCTCTGAACAAAGGAAAAGTTCATACGTTCAGAGGCAAATCTATTTGCATTGATGGAGTACTTTCGATTAAAGAATGAAAAAGAAAAGTGCATATAAGTGGTACAAAGCAAAAGAAGCACACGAGGACGGGCACTGACAGCGAACTGAATGGTTATTGAAAGGAACCAGAATATATACATGAGAAAAACCTTCTATGGCAACCCAAACGCAGAAGAAGGAAAGGGCAACTGGAAACACATACCCAACAGTGACATGTTTCCCTCTGATCTATAATGTAAAAAATTCTATGTTTTAAAGCTGATTGATTCTCATCCCTTCGTCGTTGCTTTTCGAAGTTGTGCTCACCTGCTGGTTGCTCCGTGGCCCCACTAGTTTGTGCATTGTTTTCCTCGCCAAACTGTGAGTCCACCTGTGCCTCGATGTCCTTGAGCTGGACTTCCAGCTGCGCCATCGAACACCACTCGGACTCCTCGTAATTCTCCCTAGCTCTGCACAGAGAAAGTGAACCGAGGACAGATATGAAGCAGCAGTTCTCGTAAAACAACAAGAGTGATAGATCATTTATCACAGACGTATGCAGTAGGCTCTCCGTAAACGGAAGTCTCCGAAATGGAACTTCGGCTTAAATAAAACTACCGAGTCCAATATGATTGGTTTCATACTATTATTCCCCACGCCTGTTCATCTCTTGGTAAGCAACAGAAGCTCTGTTAAACGAAGCACATTTTTCTTGTTCCTTCAAGTTCAGTTTAATGAAAACTTGCTGCATTTAAAGACCACGCTTGGAATCGACAACATAAACGCCTAAAAGCCCTTTGAAATTTCAGCACCCTTAAGGGGAGATGCGGGTCGAAGACACTTTTTTTTTAATATTCATTCGAGAGCAATGAAACTTGAGGTGCTTATAGATCTTTTTCTGCCGATTTCGAATATATAATGAGTTGTCTTGCAAGTTGCATACTTTTAGTTTTGCAACATGACAAAGTGAAAAACTTAAGCCCTTTGCCCCCCTCTTTTCATATCTAAACTTCATTAATTTTTTTACAATTGATAGTTCATAATGTTTCAAATGAAGTGTGGAATGCAAACAACTAATTTGGAAGTCCATACAAAATATGCACTAGACGTGAAAAATTTTAACGTGGGAAGTTCATATTTCTCCTACCCTAGTAAAAGTTTACATAACTTTTTTTTAATATATAAAAAGAATATTGAAACTTAAACAAGATAATTTCATTTCTCGTACTTTGGAAAAAATTTGGGAGAAATTTCATGCAGATCTGAGCACCAGAAGTACCCGAAAAAGGAGGGGCACATTGACAAAAATGGCAAAATTTGTGTTTTGAGAAAAAGAAGTTTTAAAGTCAAAATTGCATGTTTATTTATCAAAGATGTCATTGAATGCGACGAAATTTGTACACAAGAAAGAAAAATCCTCCTTGTAGTGGCCACTGCCATTAAAATGCGCCAGCACCATAGGTTTGGCCCTCACGGCTCTTTCACGTTGACAGCGTAGCTATCGCGCGAGCTACCGCTGTCGTATGTTCTCCTCGCGGTCAGTCCGTCACCCGCCACGCTCACGCTGGCCTCCCCGCCTGAAGCTACTCGCCGCGAAGTTTATGTCACCGAAAGAATAGTCTCGGGGCACTCACTGTTTGGGCAGTGGAGTTCGACGAACGACGCAAGTCTTTTCCGCTTGTCGACCGGTTCCCGGACACGTAATCCCAAATGGCGACACGTCGGACACATGCACCGCGCACAAGCATGTTCAGTGCTGTCACATCAGCAATCAACGAAGACTCGTCGTCCTGTGATTTTTCTTCGTCTTCGAAGAGTCCGATCTTTTTCTGGGAGGCATTCACATATTCGAATGCCGCGTCAAACTCGTCGGGCGCAACGGCGTCATTGCCACTACGTTTTGCGGCACCAGACGATCTTTTCGTGGTTTGAGTGTTCGGCTTTGATTTGCGCCGGCGTCCTCGAAATTTGTGCGCCGCGTGAAACTTCACAGGCCGGTGACCGCGCTTCCTACGGCTTTCTTCATTCATAACGAATAAGCACTCGAGAAAAGCGTTGTTCAGCTGTGCTGCTCGACGAGACACGGATCCTGCAAGTAGGCTTCACAGCACACACAGGCGCGCAGCGGCCAATGGCGGCTCCCGATCCGTACCACGTGATTTAAAAGCCAGTCGCGGCGCTCGAAAAAGGCGGCAAAAGCGCACTTCTTTTATTATTTCTTGCGTTGCAGCAGCGCGGGAAACCGTCGCTATTTGAAGAGTGAGGCTCGGTTCTTCGCCTCATGCGGTCGACAATGGCGAGCAGCGGCGCATTATCAGCGGCAAGGTGCTCGAAGATGACACACTTTCGGCCTTTTGACAGCCACCTTGTGCTCTTCAGACGCAATTTTAAAGCATTTCCAGTTGATTATCGACATAGATTTTTTTTTTTCAGAATAGTAGAGGTACTAATCTTAACAAAACAGGTGAAAACAAAAAATCGACAATTTTTTAGAAAATTCTCGTTTTTCGACCCGCATCTCCCCTTAAGATGGCATACATAGGTGGAGTGATAACTAGGCTTGTGAGAATAGTGCATTTTAGGCCCAAAGCGAAAAGTGATTTGGTTAGAGTAATTTTGAATTGAATTTGAACAGTACACTATAAAGAAAAATGAGAATATTTGTCATGAGCTAACTAACCTACACAGTATCTTTTGTTGTTGTTGAAACAATCCTTTGAGCAAATATCATTCTTTTTGGCTCAAAGGAAGTTGAAGCAACTTCGAATAGTAGCAGGATTTTACTTATGCTAGAATGAAAGTGATAACCTGTTAAATATGTTACATTTTAAATTTTCCTATACTAATAGCACATAAGCTGGCATAAAAAGCTTTGAAACTTAAAATAGGAAGAATTTGTGCGTAGTATTACCATAAAAACTGAAATAAAGGTTGACCCCGCAACTTTTATTCTCTGAAAAAGAAATTTTTTTTAATTGCAAAGTATCGCGGCTCACCCTTACCTTGATAAATACACAACACAACCAGCTGCCCTGCAAGGCCACAAAGTGCTGTCACTCAGGCTTGTCCGAACTTGAGTCCAATGACTTCTGTTTCTCACTATAGTTACGTCCCAGAGTGCATTGCCCTCCGTTCCAACCAATGCGTTGCTGATTCAGCATTTATCATATGCGGAAGGACTTGCACACAATCTCTTTTGGGAAAGATTTCCAAGCTGACAACACCCAGCCACAAACGGTCGCGAGCAGTGGACGTCGTAGGTGGCCAGCGGGGATCTCGGGATTGTCACCCAGCATCTTGAGCTCGCGCATGCGATCTTTGAAGGGTTTATTGAGCACTACGCTTACTGGCTGGAGTATTGATGTTAGTCCACCAGAGATCATGCCAAGGTTTGTCTTGCCATCGAACAAAACTTCCTTTACACCGGCCGTGAGGTGGCCTCCACATGAGTAGATCACCAACATCCTCAGTTGCTGAACAAAGGCACCGGGTCACCGATTCCACACGAGCCGGATCCACACAAAAACAAAAATTTCCTTAAGGGCAGGCAGCGTTGAAATAACTTGTTCCTCAAAACCAGCATGTCTTATTTAATTTACCCAGCTATATACAGTGTAAAATATCGAATATTTATTTATTGGGAGGTAAACTTTGTCAAAAATTGCATTAAAAGTTCTAGCTACGCCAGCTGCGATGTGACTAAAGGGTAGCTTTATTCAGTAAAGCTTTGACATTTGTATAACTAATGACTGGAGCTATGCAGTGAACTAGAATAAATATTATGCAGTGAATATAAAGGAAGTAATCCTAAAAAAACAAAAAAACGGGGAAAAAGAGCCAATTTAGACTGAACCTGTTGGAGGATTCAGCTGTGAACTGAAAAATATTCGATGGATTTCTTTTATTCTAGTTCACTGCCCAGATATACAGTTGAACCTCGATATATCAAACGGTGCGGTGATCACGAAATAGTTCGATATATCCAGAATTCAATATAAAAAAATCGCGAAAAAAATGCGTCAACAGCTTGCTGAAAACAACCAACGAACCCTTCAAACGTGGTGCAGTAAATACTCACTTGAAGATTCAAACATAGTATTTATTGTGTTGGTTTAAAATATTGAAAATGAGTAGCCTGCTTTTTGTTGGCCATGGCGTGTTTGACGACTGCGTCCTCAATATAGTCCAGGCGATCCGTAAGTGATAGGCCGGTGCCTTCAATCGCGCCGCTGTGGCGGCGCCCAAGGGCCAAGGCAGCTATGACCTCAGCTGATGTCGAGAGCGGGGCACCATCAGCGCTTGCGGGATCCACCTCGGCAGAGTCTTCATTTGGCTGCTCAGCAGTAGCTTCGGCGACAATCTCCACATCCGTGAGCTCCGCCGCTCGGAGTTAGGCACCACAGCGCGCGACAGGCCTAACTCCGAACGCACGAACACTGCGAGCACAACGACCGATGCCTGCCGATGCTACGGGGTGGAGCTTGCAACAAGTGCGCAGTGTGCCGTTGACACCATAGAGACTGCAACGACTGCAATCTGCAAGGCTGCGGCGTGAGTCCGGGTGTAAAGCGCGCACATGGCGCACCCATGCCGACTCGCCTGATTGCTTTCCCTTTCCCGGCGGCAGCGCGGGCCGCGTCCGAGACAGTCGTTTGCATCCTTCATCCTTTCCCTCTTATACTTTCCTCCTCAATCTTTACCTCCCATTCTCCTTTCCCCCTCGCGAAGCCGTGTCGGTGCCTTCGTACTGAAAGACAATAACAGCTCCGCGCCTCTCTCTTCACTTTCCTCATTCAGGAACCTCTACCGCAAGGCTGCGGCGCGCGTATGCCGCTACGTTAAAGTGGCGCTCTGGGCTCCATCGATGTGTGCAGCATTCGTAAACGCCCGCCGCTCTACCGCTACTTTCGAGAGTTGCGGAAAAGCTCGCCGCCTGTCAATGGAGCGCGGGCAGTTTGGGGTGGCTGAGTTCGATATATCCATTATATGTCAAACTTTGTCCGAAATAAAAAATCAATAATGCATGCGATTTCCCGCGTGATATAAAAACCGTTCGATATAGGCAATAATTCGATATATCCATGTTCGATATATTGAGGTTTGACTGTATATGTTGTAAATCATTGTGCAAAATTTCAGTTCAAAGTATATGCTGAGAAATACGATATGAAAGTTTGCAGCGCAACATTTGGAGCAAATCGTTATTTTCAGAAAAACGTAAACAAAGATTTCTGAGCTTGTCACAATCTTTGCATGCAGGCCTAAAATGCACCAGATTCAAGCTGGGCCCTTCTGCAGGAAGCATTATTGTCTCCTTTTGTTCGGGTAACTGCTCGTCCTTTTCCTGGCCTGTTTTTTGTCCCATCCGCTGACTTGCGTTTAGCATTCTGCATGCGCAAGTGATCCCTGGTGATGCAAGCTTTCGTTGTGTGGTACCCTGGTTCTATGCCAGCTTGCCTCAAGATATCTA